GAAAATAGCTTCTAGTAATAATGTCATCATAAAAGGTGACAAAATAAATGTTGAAGAGGCGAAACGTAAGATTGAAGAAATTATTAAAGACTTGGTTAGTATTTACTATACAAATATTTTTATACATAGTTATTGGAATTATTAAAGTCATAAAATAAACCTATGACTAACAGTTACTACATAAAAAATTGAACATTTATTACCCTTTAATTTATTTAAATAATACCAGAATCATAGTACAATAATAATAATTATAATCTCATAATACATTAAAATGTTATAGAAAAACGTAATTGAAGTGACTATGAACGTTCCTCCAAAATATCATGATCATTTTGTTGCCCACCACGCTGAAGTAATAAACCAGATAAGTGGGAAACATAATGGAGTTACTATTAAATTTCCACAAGTTAATTCCAATTCTAGTCAAGTTTTGATTAAAGGCCACAAGAATTATGTTGAAAAAGTTAAAAATGAAATCGATAATATTATTATTGACTTGGTAAGTTGTATACCAACACTTATTGTTTTATCGTTAAATTATTAATCAATAATCGTGTTATACAGCGGCGTAGCAGTGGTACAGTAGGTGCGACGCATCGAGGCCTTCGTGATTTGGGTCCCTCAATTAAAAAGAAAACTAACATAAACAAAAATAGAAGCTTACGTTAACTACAACCAATTGTTTGTTTTGATTTTTGGTAGAAATAAATAGTAAAAACATTTTTTTTTTTCAAAATTTCATCAACGTCTTTTATTGTAAGATAAGTCAAAATAATTAAACTAATAAATTGAAATGTAATTATAATGAAATAAAATATATTAAATACGATAAATTTAATATAAAAATTACTACATTAACAAACTTATTGTTAATTGTAGATTATGTTTTTTTAGTATTTTGGGTTTGGCCCCACCATTTTAAAATCCTGGCTACGCTACTGAAAGATAATATTCTTTATTACATACAATGAACTAAACTATAGTCATAAATATTTTTATTCCATATTAATCGATGTAAAAAAAATAGAGGAGGGTTATTAAAGAGTTCTAATAGTGTTTTTAAATGACTTAAATACATTGAGAATTTGTTAATCAAACTGACCTGCTGTTTTACTTCTATTATATCTGGTTTATCTGTAAAAATAATCTCAGCCAAGAATGATTGTTATAATTTCAATATCCTACAAAATATGACATGTTCCTATAATTCATTTTACGAAATCATAGATTATATTTAGTAATAGGTAATAATAATCTGTAAAAATATTTATAAGTACAACTACATCATGTTGCTAAAGCAAAAACTTCAAATATTGTTATTAAACGACGTCAGTTAACCAAAGTATTTGTGTTTTATAATTTGTAATAGGTTCTGTATATTTTAATTTTAAACTAAAATGTTAAAAATGTTTATTTCGTGAAAAATACAGTATTTATTTTTTTTCCTCTTAATTATATTTAACTTTTATGTCTTCTCATTTGTATAAATTTTACTTATTGAAGAAATAGTAAGAATAGTAATCAGCAAGTATTTAATACTTTTTTGCCGACCGAAAATGTGGTGGATCTATGATAAGATCACTTCCGCCAGATTTCATCATTCTCAATGATAAATTCATTGAGTAGTTTATCTATTTAATATAGAAATCTATAGATTAAAGTTATGTAATAATATTATTTTACCCGTTCACCATCGAGCAACATACGATAACGGGTTACGATACCGGGTTACGGCTAGATCGAACGGTCGGCGATTTTTACATTTTATTATATATGACCTTCCGGTATTATTAGAGAATGTACCATTGGAATAACAAGAATCAATGTGGTTTATGTTAGAAGTGTACCTCCTCATCATACAAATGCAGTCCGACAACAATTATATTATCTTTTCCCTGACAGACTTATAGGTAGAGGAGTTGGAAACAATGTTCAATATAGCCCCAACATAACATGGCCACCACGCAGTCCTGATTTTAACCCATGTAACTTTTTCTTATGGGATTTTATAAACGAACAAGTTTATGCCAAAAAAGTAAATAATAGAGATGAACTTTTGATGATAATTAATAATGTAGCTGATATCATTCGTCAAATGAATTGCAAAAAACTTGGAGTTCATTATATCGTCGTGTAGAAAAGTGCATATAAGTTAACGGGGGTCACATTAAACAACTTTTGTAAATAAAAATTGATTTTAAAATTAAAATTTATTTAACTATGATCTTTTTTACAATGTTAAAGCTGTTTTAATTACTTATGTGTGTTAACTGACAACAAACTACTATCACCACTGTTTATCGTGAAGTGTTCTCATACGAATCGATGTGTCACATGACTTCTCATCCATTCCAGAAACACTATGTATATTTAAATCAAAATAAAAATATCATGTTAAATAATCGTTTTTTGAGATATGCCATTTAGTTTTATATAAGTATGGGTTTAAAATTCGGTAAGAAATTTACTAAAAATATGAACATGAACGTATCTAATTATATTATAGTGTATAGCAGTGGCATATCCAAGATTCATTTAACGGGAGTGTTTTAAAATTTAATAGATTTATAGTAAGTGAAGGTTTTGCTCCCCATGTATTACATTTATAAATACCATGTATTTATATAAATTATTATATTAATGACAACGATTTCACATATACTTACGTTTATTTAAATTGTACCGTAAGTAAGTTTGCAATTTGGTAAAATACTATAAAATACGGTCGATGGGAGGTGTTCCAACACCCATATCACCTTCCCCCCTAAGTACGCCCCTGGTGTATAACTTCATTATCTTAACGCAGCACGGTAGCGGTACGGAGGGCTCTCGCACGCACTCGCATGCACTCGCACGCCCATGCCAGAGCATAATATTGTGATCGCGAAAAAATGTTTATTTTACACTCTAACATACGATTCTAATTCAAACAATACGTCGCAATGATTATCTCGATTTGCATTCTGAAAAATACATTCCTTTTTTCCACAACATGTACGAGGGATCGATTGAAGCACATTTTAAAAATTGTATTTAGTTAATTAAATATTTAAGTTTAAAATTCTGTATTTTTTTGAATTTTCAACAATATTTATTGCAATTCGATTTACAAAAATTAAAAATGTGGCTCGATCGTTCCCTTGTACATATTACGGAGAATCCGTATATTTTTTGAGAATGAAAATCGTGATAATTGTCGACACGTAGCTTTGGAATTAGGAACAGCAATTTTTGTTAAAAAAAGACGTGGTAGTGAGGCCCCTTAATTCTGATATATTATTAAAAATATGTGCAACTAGATGGATTGAACATCACGAAGCTTTTATAAGATTTAATCAAATGCTTCCTGCTATTGTATCACTTTTAGAATATATAATTGAAAGTTCTGACGGACAAGTTTTGACAAAAGTTAATGGATTATACAACTCAATATTAAGGTTTGATTTTGTATTGACATTACAAATTATAATAAATACCATGAATATTACACTACCTTTATCAAGGAAACTTCAAACTCCAACTTTTGATAAACTGAGGCGCAAACTTTAATACAATCTGCTCTGTTTTGACAATTCAACGTAACGAAAATGAATTTAAAGATATTTTTAAAAAAATCTGAAGATTTGGCTAATAAATATAACATTGAAGTCAAGATATCACGAATAGCAAATAAACAGCGTAACCGCTTAAATATTTCATCAGAATCTAACACACCTGAGAGTTATTATAGAATTTCTGTTTATTATATATACCTAGAGGCACTGTTAACTGAAATTCAATACAGATTTAAAACAAAAAAAAGTAACATTTTAAATTTAAAAGGCTTCATACCTAAGTATTGTAACAATATTGACGTTTCAAAAATATTAGATACAGTATTATTGTAAACAACTGATTTACCAGGTACTTTTAATGAATTAGAAAGAGAATTGAAAACCTGGAAAGCAATATGGAAAAGAAATCAAGTAGATGAATTTCTATCCACTGCATTGGAAACAATATTTTTACCACTCATGAATTATTACCCAAACATTAAAGGCTTTTAATGCTATTTGCAATAATTCCTGTGATAACATGTACATCCAAAAGGTCATTCTCTTCACTTAAGAGAATTAAAACCTACTTAAGATCGACTATGGGAGAAAATCGATTAAACGGATTAGCATTGCTTAATATACACCCTGAAATAATTATAAAACCTGAAGAAATAGTTGATGCATATGCTAATAAACACCCCAGACGCCTTCAGATATTGTAATTACAAAAAATATATTTAAAAATATGTTTTATTATAAATTTGTGTAATAAAATGTTATGTTTCTATCAAACACTTGTATTTTGATTATTTGGTTATGAATAACGACCATTTTTTTAGATTGAAACGTTATAACTATGTATACTTTGAACTTTTTGTTTGAGCCCCCTCCCATAAGACATTTCGAAATACGCCCCTGTACACTATTCACAAAAAAAAATATTTTCACAAAATACTATAGTGTACAATTCTTGTTGGCTCCGTTTTAACGTTTTAACATCATATTTTACATCAACATTTTGATTGCTATTACCATATATACAGCATGTTTTTGACCAACGTAGTTAATTTATGATAAGGCAAAATGTTTAATTTTAGCACAAATAAAATGAATAAACATTTTGTTAGGCATTGTTTTATATAAGCATTAAATGAAATGATTACTTTACTCTTGAATTTTAACTGATATGTATACAAAGAAAAAAGTAGGTTTATACATTGGCATAAAAAAAATAGTTATCTTACCACTTTTAAAACAAAAAATTAATTAATTTTTTGTTTTAATACAATAAGAAATTTTGAAATAAATACTAAAATAATGTTTGTCTTGTAATGCATATGACGCTTATATACGCTTATATAAAATAATGCAACCAGAAAACTTAACTGTAATACAAAATATTATTTATGTAAAGCGCTGTCATTATGTCATATTTAAAGAGAACACATTAAATTAACATACCGCAATTTGTTAGGTGAGATTTGTCAACACAACCCATTCGTTCGTCTTGAGTTTTTTTACATTTGTACTCTAACGGGATACATTGGCCGTTGTCACACTGGAAATCATCAGCCGTACATGGTCTATAATCTGTTAAACAAAAAGTTGACTCGAGTTGATTATAAAGAATAATTTGTTATACAATTTCACTACCGATAATTATCAATTTAAACTGTTTAATTTTAATTTGTAAAATTGTATACAGAAGAAATTTTATAGTATGTATAGAGAATTAATGAGTTTTTTTGTCAATAATTTAAATGTATAGTTGAAATTTCGATTTGATTATGATTAGTAAAATACTTAATAGATAAATACATTCCCAGAATACGCAGCAAAATGTATTACTAATAAGAACTGATCAATTTTTGATTATCAAATCGTTACATATTTAATGTGAATATTTATTTTTTTAGCAGTATTTGGAAGGAGAAAAGTGTTTCAAAGGAACTCGTTCTTTTAATTTCGTTTCATTTTTAGGAACTTATCTGCAACATAGTTTCTTTTTCATGTTTAGGAACGTATTGGAATTTCGATTACTTTTTAGAGGAACATGAACGATATTTTTCTACGTTCATTTATTTTAAATAAAATTATTTAAACCATTTTTAGAATCATGATAAAAAAAAGTTTAAAACTTCTTTAGAAAATTAGCAAACATAAAGAGCTAAAAACAAACTTTTTATACGAAATTATTGATAATGTTTATAAAATGCCCATTCTGTCGCGGCGGCCTTATCGGTGGGACATCGTTAGTGGCTGGAAATACCGTTTAACGATATGAGTATGTATTATATGTATTATCATTGATTTTAGAATATATTATTCTAAAATCAATGGTATTATTTACAATTGGTAATTTATTATATTTTCTATTTTTAAAGCGTACCTACAGGCTACTGCTAATACGATGTCTTTTTTCAGTACAATCAGAGTTATCTGCAGAGTGCTGCCTAGACAGTTATATAAATTAATTTCATGTTATTTTTACTAGTTATTTTATTGTTTATTATAAATTTTAATAATTATATCAGACGAAAGCACGAATTTAATTTCGACTTCACGTATTCGTATTCCATGGCCAGGAGTTGAAAAATATTTTTCTTCTCAAATGTTTAATAGGCCTATTAGATATTATAAAATAATTAAAATTGAAGCAAGTATTATAAAATTGCGTGAAACGAAAAAATGAAAACAAAACAATAATATCTAATTAAATTAATTATATTATTATTAATATTAATAATATTAATTAATTAATTATTTAATATTAATTATATATTTGATACAATTTTAAAGCTTTTGAGAAACGAAAAATATTTCCTTTTTTAAAGGAACTAAAGCACTGTTTTTTAGGTAAATCTATATTAAATGAAATTTACCGCAGTCTTCCTCGTCTGTACCATCAATACAGTCAACTCTGTGATCACACCACTTTTCAAGTAACAAACATTGTTTACCAATCTTGCATCTCTTCCAGTCAAGTCCGGGACACGATTCATTCGCTGAAATCATTACAGGAACCCACAATAATAATAATAAATAAAATTATAATTTAATTTATAATATATTATATAAGACTCGTTAGACTATTATATCGACATGCTATTATATTATTATACCCTTGATTAAACAAATGTAGGTTAATATATTGTAACATTTTATGCACAATTATCCAAAATCGAACATCGATTTACAACATTTTTAATTTATTTCCGTTTTATACATTATTATTGCAACTTTCATAGTACGGTTAAATATTTCTGATATAAGTTCAGTCAAACCTCAATGTAACATCAATTATTTTAACACGCAGTTCCATATACACGATTTATATCCACATTACCGCCAAAAATTTCCTACACTTATCGCGCTCCGTATTATATCTATGTAAACTAACTCGTTTAAAACGCGTACGTATATTCATAAGCGTTTTCTGTTTGATGCAAGGTACAGAAACACCAACAATTTTAAAAATGTCATTAATTTGACTGACAAACTTTGATTCGGTTCTCAGACATAAATCTTTTTTTTCTTTTCAGATATACTTCTATTATATAATACATACTACGTATTAATACTATCTAATAAATTATAAAAGGATAAAAAATTATTTTTTTCTTTTAAATATCCTGACGAAAACTGGAATTGGCCTACTTTAACGTTTGTGACTACAAAAAAAAAAAATAATAAAAAAAAAAAAGAATGCTTTAAATCACATTTAATAAAATTTAATCTAACCTCCCCACAATGCGTTTATGTCGCTTATTCTCCATAACAATACAACACTGACTAATATGCTATTTATCTGCATAATCACAGTACATAGATACTCATTAATGAATAAAAGGTATAATACAACACTTTATAACTCGAAGTATTATGGATTCTTATTGAAAATATTATATTTTCCGGCTTTATGCGAAAAGTATTCCAAGAATGGATTTATGTAAATTCGTAGTTGATTTTATTTTATATAAAAACTTCAAACGCCTATATCTTATTGGACTGAGATTTCACCTTTAATACAAGATTTGTACCACGTATAATCTCTTCAAAACATGTATGACAAGATTTCACTGTAATTAAATACATAATTTACCGCATCCGATTTCATCGCTCTTGTCCCAACAGTTAGTGTGACCATCGCAACGATATTCGGAATTTATGCACTCGCCGCTAGAGCATCGAAACTGTTGTTGATCACATATCGATAACGACTTGTCGCATCCCGATTCATCATCTCCACCTAAACATTCTTCTTTGAAGTTACATCGGTGTTCAGATGGCAGCCACCGACCGTCACGACACCGAAAAAATTCGTCGTCTGAATGCAAATATGAGTTATTAACTATGGACAAAAAAACAGGGTTACTGTGATTATCATGGAATGAATAATTAATATCATGATAAAATGTTAATCAAACTAAGGATCCTCAGTTTATAAAATGTTAGTTTATCAATGTAAAAATTATTACTTTTAAGACAAATTATTTATTTTTACTCTGTCGTTACATTTGTAATATGTCTTTCATTAAAATGTCATTCACAATAATATTTCTATATTGAATTGAAATGGAAAAAATCACTTCTATATATAAGCATACTTACAATTTATAAGTTTTTTGATTTATATTGATGTAAATCTGCAAACGATGCTATGAATAAGTCAATATATGGGTGATTACTAGTTACATTCAGCGATAAAAATTTCTTCGTAATTGCGACCAGAGTATTTTTGGTATACATACGGATTTCGGCCCTATCGTTTCTGAGGTACATACAAACTTAAAATTTTTCTTATTATTAAATTATACATTCTAGAAATCATTTCTTTCCCATTTTTATACAAATATAGAACGGTCTATAGCATCAAAACTACAAGTAGACTTATATGTAATTGAATATATACTTTACAAGTATTTTTAGTACAGCAAAATAAGAAAAGCAACGAAATGTTTTTGTCCGTATTAAAGCGACGACTAAGGTGTATATTGTCTTTTTTGTATCTATAGGTACATTATACTGTCATTATAATTTATCAGTCAACATTGAATACTATCTTGAAATAATAAAAATCAATATGTTACAATGGTATAGACCTATATCAGGGGCGGTCAAACGGTCGATCACGGACGATTTCAGAGTCGATCAATTTTTTTTTTTTAAAGAATAATTAAAATCTATATCAATTTGTATAAGAAATTATTACAATACATGTTTTACAATAACAAGAATTAACAGAATGGGAGGGCACTCAGTAGTGCCACCCGACAGATTATTTTAATAGATCTCTAGGCCAGGTCCGATTTAATCTTCTTAGAGGGTTGACAGGATTTTCGAAGGAGGAAAGACGATTGATTAGCGGGTTTGTATGTTGAGCTAGTTTTGAATGGAATGAATGGAAGTGTGATTTAGTTAGTTGGGACAGAGTTGGAATTTTAAGGTCATTGTGTAGGTTAGTGTTTTTGATATACCAGGGGGTAGAGACGATTTGGCGGAGATATATTGATTGAAAAGCTTGGATAGTTTTCAAGTTGGAAGGTTTGGCGGAGCCCCATAATTAGATACATAAGACCACACTGGTCTAATGATGGCTTTATAGATTAAAAGTTTGTTGTTGGTAGTTAGTTTTGATCTTAGGAGGGGATGAAGTAGATGAAGTCTGGAGTTTACTGTCTTTCTTTTATTTTTAAGATGTTGAGACCATGTAAGGCTTATCGAGCGTAAGGCCCAGATACTTAATTGCCGAGGTTGTTGGGATAATATTATTATTTAGTGAGACTGGGGGCAGTCTTGTGGTCTTAGTAAGAATATTATAAATGATGATTTCGATTCATTTAATATTATCTTCCAACATTGGAACCAGAGTTGTATCAGATGGTTTTGTAACATATCAGTGACGGTTTGAGGATTTTTATTTGAGGCTATAATTATTGTGTCATCAGCATAAGTGCCCAGATAAGTGTAAAAAGATTAAGGAGTATCGTGGAAGAAAGTTGTGTAAAGGAAAGGAGCTATGTCACTGCCTTGTGGAACGCCAGCTAGGATTTGAAAATTTTCTGAGTAACTATTGTTCACTCGAACGGAGAAGGTATGGTTTTCAAGCTATAATTTAATAAGAAGGTAATATGGGGCTGGGAGAAACTTTTTTAGTTTATAGAGGAGCCCATCGTTCCAGACCCTGTCAAAGGCCTGTGCTACGTCAAGCAGAACTGCTGCACAGTAGTGTTTTGACTCCAAGCTAGAGAAGATTAAGTCGACTGTACGAAAGAGTTGATGGATGGTGGAGTGTTTGGCCCTAAATCCAAAATGATAACTAGGTATAATGTTTGATTTTTCTGCGAGTGGTATTAGTCTTTTGAGAAGAATTTTTCAAATATTTTTGAGAAGGTGGTGAGGAGACTAATTGGTCTGTAAGACAAGGGAAGTTCGGGGGGTTTGTCTGGCTTAGAAACAAGGATTATGTTGGAGTGTTTCTAGGTCGTTGAAAAGTAAGATAAACGGAGTAAGGAATTGAAGATTAGTGAGAGGAAGATAATAGATTTATATGGGAGTTTTTTGACGATTTGGTTGCTTATCAATTCGTGCCCAGGACCTTTTTTAGTTGAAAGTTTTGTATAATGTAAATAATCTCTCTTGGACTAGTGTGTTTGGCAGGAAAAGCCATAGGAGGGGCGGATTCCAAAGAACGTTCGATTATTTTTAGTTGGGTTTTGTTTGGATAAATATCATGTTGCTGAAAGACGCTAGCAAGGTGGTTAGCAAAGATATTGGATTTTTCGGTATCAGTTGTGGCCCATGAGTTATTGGATTTTCAAAAAGGAGGAGATGGTTATTTGTTGTTAAGTAATTTTTTTGTAGCCTTCCATAGAGAAGAATCTTTTGTAGAAAGATTTTGGTTTTATGAGTAATAACTTACATTTTTGTGCTCTTGAATAGCTTTACTTAACTTATTTTTTAAGTAGTTAATTCTTAATTTGTCAATAGGATATTTGGATCTTTGCCACTGGGCTCTGGCTCTACGCTTTTCGGCAAGTATTAACTTAATGTGAACAGGAGTAATTATGTTATTTGTGAGTTGGAAACCATTGATAGTGGCAGCAAGTGCAGCTTCTTGGATTTGGGTAGTAAGTGAGTGTATGGCGTGATCTATTTTAACGGTAGATTTTAAAGTGGTTTGCAAAATTATTTTTTCGTTTATTAATTTACTAAATTTTTGCCAGTTTATTCTGCCTGGAGTGGGAGAAGGTCTAGATAGTATTTTAGATTTAGTACCTATATTAAGGAAAATCGGAATGTGATCGGAGGAGAGATCGTTTAGATTTAATATATTAGTGATAAGATGGTTGGGTATTTTTGTAACGAATATATCAAATACATCTAGAAGTTTGTTTCTATAGGATGGCCAGTATGTAGGTCCAGGTGGGGAAATTGTTGTGTAGTTTTTTGTAGTTAGAACCGTATTAAGGGCTCGACCTCTAGTATTTGCAGAACGGTTTCCCCAGCAGGGATGTTTGGAGTTTAGGTCACCTCCAATAATGAATTGTTGCCCTAAGAAGGAGAAGAAAGTTTCAAAATTTTCTGGTATTATTTTAGGACTTGGAGGACAGTAAATAGATGATATTGCAAGTTGGGTATTGTTTTCTAGGTTTATTAGCAGTGATGTGGCTTGTAGGTACGTTTCAGAGTATGAAGTTAGTGGGTAATGGGATACATTTTTTTTTATGTAAATAATGGTGCTGGCATGAGCTCTACCATCAGGGTGACGTGTTAGGTAGACTTGGTATCCAGGAATATGTTATTAGATATGAGATAGATATGAGTCTCGGATATTAGGACGATGTCAATGTTTTTTTTCATTAAATAATAATTGAAATTCATTTTTATGGTTATGAAGACCGTTGGCGTTCCAAGAAAGTATGGAGAGGGGAGATATTAGATTAGTGTTAGGTATCATAATTAATGCATAATTACTAGCTTGTTTATAAGTGTTATAAGGAGAGTTATAAGAGGAGTTATGAGTAACTGGAGTTCTTGGATAAATGATGAAAAGTGTTTATAAATATCAGGAGGAGTATCGGGATTGCAGGAGTGATTTTTCGTATTACCTTTGGCTGAATCGGCATAAGATGTCTGTCACGTGACATTACTGGTTGAGTTTGGATTTACGTAGTTCTGATGAATAGAGTTCAAATTGATGGTGTCCGGGATGTTGGTGGTTGAGGGTTTACTTGAAAGTTGATAGTGATTATTTTGGGTGGAATCCTTGTATTTTGAATTTCTCGATCGTTGAAGAAGTTTGTGTTTGACGCAACCTTTATAGTTGGCAGGATGAGGTTCACCACATAGTGCGCAGGAAGGCGATGTGTCTTTGGGCTTTTCGCAGTGTTCGGACAAGTGGTTAGAGTCACATCGGACGCATCTGGGATCACGGTTACATTACATCTTGGTATGTCCGCAGTCTTGGCATCTGTGGCATTGGGGTAGGTCTCGCCGGGAATGAGGAACTTCAATTTTTATTTTTGTCTAACAAAGCGAAATCAATTTAAAGATATTTGAATTGTTTGGGGCCAGATCCTAGTCGACGAAGAATATTGGGAGAGCTGATTTGGAGATTTTTGATTGGATGTTTGAAATATTTCTAACTGAAAATCCATTTAGAATAAGTTCATCTTTGATATAGTTTATATCAGTTCTGGAGTGAAGATTTGGTATAACGACACGATATGGTTTATTTTCTTTTGCTTGATCAGTGAAATATTCGTATTTATTTTCGTTTAAGAGATGGATTATTAGGCGGTATGAGTCGGTTAAGGTCGTTGATAGTTTTAAGTGTATAGAAGTCGACTTATATTCGAAACCGTTTTCCCCTGTAATTGCTAGTATTGATTTTACGAAATCGTTATAGTTTACTGGAGTGGAGATAAATATTGGTAGTGGGATTGACGGAGGTTTTTCGCTGGTTGACTAGTGTAACATTTCGTTTTCATCATTTTCAGTTACAGATAAAACATCGTAACGGTTTGGTGAATAAAAAGAAGAATTTGTTTTATTTGCAGTTTTTGGTTCTTTAGTTTTAGGAGACTGACCTGGAAAAGAGTTTCGTTTGGTTTTTTAAGTGACAAAATGCTGATCATCGAAGTCTTGGTCCAAGTTTAGAGTGTTATTTGTATAAGAAGGACTAATAGTTAGGTTTTAGTATTATTACTATAACTTTTATTATTTGTTTTATCGGCCGTGTTTAAAGGCCGTTTTGATATAATAGTAGATTGCACATTTATAATCTTATTATATTTAACTGGTGACCGCAAAGCCATCGTCGATGTCCATGGAGATAACGGGCGGTCG